AGCAAAAAGCTAGGGTGAGCAAAACAAAGGTGTGAATATGTTTGACAGTTTAAAAACAACCATAATAGTTTACATTAAAGTATAAAAAAACATTGCATAAAATATACGCGTTTAAAGAGCTTGCAAACAGTAATTCTTTTGGTATTATCGTGTATTTGATTGCCACTGTTAATTACCTTTTAGAGATGGCCGTTCAATAGAGATTTAGTGTCACATTATGGGATGGACTACCTTATGTAGAATACTATCTATTATTATGTCTTGAAAAGGAGATTAAATATTCTAGCAAGATTTTATCTACTGGAGATTTGCCTAAACCAAGAAACAACTATGATTCAGTTGCCGCTATGAAGACAGAGAATGGTTGCATGTTTATTTGAAATGAAGTCAATTTATAATATCAACATCATTATCAGATATCCTTTAGCGACTCAAAATTTGAATAAACTTATAAGTTATAGCTTGCATAAATTTATTCAATCAAATCTAATATGATTATGCTTACCTATGATTAGTACGTCCCTACATTTTTTCAAATTTATAAAATTCCCAACGAGTTATTATATTCTTAAAAACTAGTAAAAAAAAAGTTGCTTTGTGCAAATAAAATAAACTTAATGCGCGATTGCGGAGCTCTAGTCTTTTAGCTGTACACAGTGAATGTTGATATAACGGTTAGCCGATATATTGGATTCGCTTAGTACAGAGTTTGCCAGTTTTACTAATTAAATATAGCGGAGGGGTTCATTAATGGCTTTACAAAGAAAGAAATTTGCAAACGTGCCCCTAATGCCAGTAAGAATGTATCACAACACTTGTCAATTTACACGTATTAATCAAAACAATTTTGAGATAGACTCTAGTTGTATATTATGCGTATGTATATCCCGTCACTATGTAAATCTTGTTTAAGGTCCAAATAAAATAAAATCATCAATTAGTGATAAAAAAAATTTTTTTTATCGACTGACATCTGTTGAGAAAGTATACTAATAGTGACAAATTTACTTACAGCAAAGTTCATTATCTTTATGACATATTATTTCTGCTTGGAATTTTTCTACATCTGCCATACATCTCATACATCTTACTTGACTACTTGATGTAGTTCTAACTAAGTTTAGCCTCTTGCCGCCCTTCTTACACTTATTATTCAGAAAACTTGGCTAATTCTACTAAATTGGCACCATAAGTGACATTAATATTTTCCATTTGGGTTTTCAATTATCCTACAAGGAAGTAACGATCGGGTGGTTCTTCTATTGACGCGGGATGCAATACAATTGTAAGTAAACATGGCTCGACATATCATTGTGAAAATACCACATTTTCTTGACTATAAAGTACCCCGGGTCTTTTACAAAATCAAGCCTCAAAATTGCTGAAGGATACTTTGCTTGGGGTACTTTAGTCAAGGAAGTATAGTATGTTTTGAGTTACTAAATACGTTAGTGACAATTTTCTATTAGTGCGTCGACACAATTTGAATAAAAACGATTGTATTAAATAGCGTAATCAAGCGTACATTGCGAAAGAAAAGCTGAATATGCTAGCGATTGGTGCAAAGAATAGGAATACGCTTGTATTATTAAATTGGCGTAACCAACATGATTCCGACATATCATAATTGTGAAAAAATGCTTTGAATAAGTTAGCGTATGCTTTGATTTACTAAATACGTTAGCTATTGGTGAGGGCGCCCATGATATGAAAATTGATTTATGCTTAAACAAAATTAGTTTAAGCGTAAGTGCGTTTATCCCTGTGGTGCGACGGGAAATTATCAGCCCCAATTGATTCAGTTCTAAATACGGATAGATTGTGTGAAATAACAGATCTGCCAGATATCAAAAATTTGTTTAGTGATGACTACCATCTTTTATGATTAGTCAATACCATACATAGAATGTTACAATTACTTTCTTTGAATTATTATGGTCTAATTATACCTTTCTTCGACAACTTTGGCTTAGATTGCACAGAGCTGATTTAACTTAAAGGAGCAATGTAAGTCTTATGACTCAATGGGATGTTGTTATGTTGTTTTGTATCAATATCAAATAAATTAGGCGTTAATGCAGTCAACTTTCTTTATAGTCACCTCTGGGAGCATTTAACAGTAATAAAAATTCCTTAAAACAACAACGCGTCGAATTAATCTCCCGTTTATAATTAATATACTTCTGTCTAAATTATGATTGATTATTGTGTTAGTTCTATTCTTATGTGTCATTGTCGCTGGAGTGTTTAAGCGAGTTAAGTCAAATTTAACTAGATTCAGTAGATGCTGTCGCATCAGACCAGAACTGAAAAGAACGGCTGAATTATAGATTTAACATATTTATTTAGTTACCTAATTAAATAGGATGTTAAAAAGCCACCTTCAATGATTAGCTACACCTTTAATTTAAAAAGGGCGTATATATAGCTTTACAATTCTAGGCACAATCACACAATTAAACATGTGAATGAAGGCTTATCAATTATCCTGACTTTTAAACACATTCTTTATTTAAAACGTCAAGCAATATATTCTGGCAGCAGAGGTTGCAAACGCCCACCGAAATACAGTCACTGACAACTTGTCTTTTATTTAAATTAGCCTTTCTGTTTAATAAATTTTATGGAAAAGATCCAGACCTTAAAACGACTAAGAACTCAACGATGTCAGACGTAAAGATGATAATAGTTGCATTTTAAATAATAATAATACTAACTAATACTTCTCGTGCACAATGGCTAATATATTGGGCTATCCTTAATTTATTGTTGCAAAATCAAAGAATACTACTGACTAATACTTTTCGTGCATAATGGCTAGTATATTGGGATATCCTTAATTTATTGTTGCATTAAAGAATACTAGCATAGTCTCCCGCTCTACACCAATGTTTTACATCAGTCCGTAAACAAAAGCGTGTTGGATGAGTACAAAGAAAAAAAAATTATCCAGTCCCCTTCAATTGTTTTTGTAATGGATAAAACATTGAATATAACAATGCAGAGGACCAATTTGCCCTATTTCTATGCCAAAAGATCGAAGTAACATATTGCATTGGTGGATTTCAGTCATAAATAAGGAGCATGGAATTCGGTACCAGCAGCTGAAGTAACAATGCATCTCATATTGTCATGTAAAACTTTTTACTATATTAAGAAAATTGTAGCATAAGAAAGACGAGTTTAGTTTTTTGTTATGTTATTGCTTCTAACAAAATAAAAATTTTTAGAAAACAATTCACGTGCCGAGTTATTTCTGATCGATTAGTAAAAAAGACAGTATATATAGTTTGACATGTGATGAACTACATACATTGCAATAAGTTTCCAAACTATATGAACTCTTATTTGTCACTCAGTATTATTAATGCATATATGCACGTAATAATAGTGTTTACTTATATATTATTGCAGCATGGCTAATTCTATTAGTACAAAACGTTCCACATACGAGTAAGTCTTAACTTTAACAGCAAAATTACTTCCGTCAGGGTGCAATACAGTAATAGTACTAGCTAATTATATGCGCTATTTAATTATATTTAGAAATAATATTCACGCGGCGTTATATTTGTTTTGGTTGCAATGTTGTCTATGTGCGTGGGTGAGATATTTATCTGTGTTAAAACAATTTAATATTAACGATTGCCACGTTTACTAAATTTCCGTAAGCATCATCGAATGAACGAAATATAGTAGGTTCTGCATATGTCTACTACTATATAATACATTCACTATATGCAGGACATAATGATCAATTGGGGCTTAATTGCGTTTGGGCTTGTAAGTTACCAATTTTGAACCTTGAATATTGTGAGACTCAAAATAAAACAGCGAGTTTATTGAGGATTGAAACACGAACTCTTTCCTTATACAGCTCTGAAAAGAGAGAACGAGAAGATGCGTGGGATCATCGATCGCTGTAATACTTGCTGTAAGTATACTCGACGCTAATAATACGTGGACAGGGTGACTGGAATCTTGGGAGGGTATTTGAGTCGTTTGCGAGACCCAGACTGCGATAGTTGATAATAACACTGTACGGTTAGAAGAATGTTGTTATTATGGACAGCTAAATTAGTTAAGCGAGCATTCTTTACTTTACAGAATCTTCAAAAGAGCACCGCACAACGGGTAACCAAATGATACTTTCGTTAGTAATTTTCGTCTATACTATAAGCAATTTTTGTTATAGCCTGCTGTTAGATTTTTGGAGTTAGTAGATTGAAAAAAAACAAAATAAAAATAGAGAAAATAAATTTAACACGACTACCAGAAGCGGGGATGTAGGAAATAGCGATAATGAGCGGACTAACGATCGATGGATAGCAATGGTTACAATAGAATACCCCAACCAAACTCCATATCAAAAAATGCTTACCTTGTTGCTCAGTATGATTAGATTGATATTGCAGGTAGTAGTAGCACTAACAATGTTTGTGTCCGTTATGCAGGCAAGATTTACGCTGTACCACCTCGGAGCAATTTTATCGACTTTTGGGATGTTGTGATCTACTTGTGATAAGATTGATATCTTTTATGTAACATCCCGATCAAACAGTAACATTTTGAGTCTTGACAACGTTTTTTTTTCTGCAACTCTAATTCGTTGTCATCAATGAACGCCAAGTAGAAATAAAAAATGGATGTTTATCCGTGTGTGAATATTCTGCAACGCTGATCTATGTAATCTATAATAAAGTATTGTTAATAGGGAACACACGTAAGAATTTTCTTTTGGGAAACCGATTTTCACTGGGACGATTGTTTGGTACACATTCTGCATTTTTAATCATTCGATCTAGATTTATTAATTACGCATTCGACTTGTATATATACTCTCACCATTCCTCCCAGTATGATTACCCTGCTTAATCCAAACCGAAGTTAATCCAAGCAAGTTAGTAAAGTGTCTACTGTACGATAAGGAAACAACAGAAACATACTGACCTATATCCCTTCCTCACATTCATCAAATCTCACACTTTAGGAGTATCTAAATGGCATCTCACGACCTAGTAGATTCCGGCAAAGAAGATTTCGACACAAAGCGTCGTAATGCTCTTGCTGAAATTGATAATGCCAAATTTGGCTGGTTTCATGTACGGACAATCGTGGTGACTGGTGTTGGATTCTTCACCGATGCCTACGACTTGTTCGCCGTAAACTTCGTGACGGTTATGTTAGGCTATGTCTATTACTCATCTTCTAAAAATGCGCTACCGACGAATCTCGAATTGGGAATAAAGATAAGCGCACAATGTGGAACATTTATTGGGCAATTGCTATTTGGTGAGTATGGAATACGTCGGAAGTTTTACCTAGTCTGTAACTAACATTGTGAATTATTACTACAGGATGGCTTGGCGATTTTTTGGGAAGGAAAAAAGTAAGTACTCCCCTTGCAATGGATGATTGTTACGCTTCTCATCATACCATGCTAAATCATTAATGTTTCATTTACTCAGATGTATGGCGTAGAACTCATGATAATGATAATCGCAACATTGGGTTCTGCTCTCTGCGCAGAGTCATTCGCTGTGAGTGTAGCCGGCAGTTTAATATTATGGCGAGTTATTCTCGGCATTGGAATCGGTGGAGACTACCCTATGTCTGCAGGTTAGTAATTGGTCGTTGTATATACATTTACACACTATCAATACATAAGACTTTTTTATACAGCTCTCTCGCATGAATGAAATTTATCAGTTTACATCGTCATCGACGATAAGGTTGTTGCAATAATCATTATTTACTCATTTTCATTTCTTTCTTACGTTTCAATAGTCATAAGCTCCGAATTCGCAAACAAAAAACGCCGTGGTGCTATGATAGGCTCAGTATTCGCAATGCAAGGATTTGGTATTCTTGCTGCAGCAATTATGTCGACCATTCTCCTCGCCGCCTACAAACCAAATATTAAAGATGATGTACGCTACGTCGATTACGTCTGGAGACTTCTTATTGGATTAGGTGCCGTTCCCGCTTTAGTGGCATTATACTTCAGATTAACTATTCCAGAAACACCACGATACACCCTTGATATCGAGAGGAACGTCAACCAGGCCACCGAGGATATTGCAGTCGTTTTGGGTAGAAAGGAAAGAGCAACTACGATTGAAGAAGAAGATGTCGTCCGCGTCGAAGCACCGACACAATCTTGGCAAGATTTTAAGGCGTATTTTGGAAAATGGGAAAATGGGAAGATTCTTCTTGGTACCAGTCTATCGTGGTTCTTGCTTGACATTGCGTTTTACGGCATTGGGCTTAACAATTCGGTTATATTGTCGAATATTGGATATGCCAAAGATCCTGACCCGTTCAAGACATTATGGAATCTCAGTATCGGGAATATCTTGATAGCTGTTCTTGGAACTGTACCAGGATATTGGTTTACCGTCGCCTTGGTGGATGTTTGGGGAAGAAAGCCCATACAGCTTATGGGATTCGGAGTATTGACAGTACTATTCCTTGTTCTTGGAGTTGCATACAAACAAATTCTCAAGACATCGACTGCACTATTTATCGTCATATTTACTCTATGCCAGGTCAGTTTAATTATACATAATGAACTTTCATTTTATCAAATATTGTTCATTGATTTGTCTATTTCGCGACTAATATCGAATCTTTCTATTTATACAGTTCTTCCAAAACTTTGGACCAAATACTACCACGTTCATCATCCCAGGTGAAGTATTCCCAACACGATATCGATCAACGGGCCATGGAATTTCAGCTGCATCAGGGAAACTTGGAGCTATTATATCTCAAGTTGGTTTCCTTCGACTTAAAGATATTGGTGGCAAGGATGCATACGTCGACAAAGTAATTATCATCTTTGCTCCAATCATGTTTCTCGGAGTTCTCGCCACATTGCTGATACCAGAAACAAAGAACCGATCACTGGAGGATCTATCTAATGAAAAACAGGTTGGGTTTATCAGTGGCGTACACCACAAACCGACGGGTAATACTACTAAGGAAATTGAAGCGAAGAGTTAAAGAAAAAGCGTGTGATTATATATAGTTTAATAAGGAGGGGAAGGTTAAATATTTATAATAGTAGATTGAGTCGCATAACTTTGTCCCTAAGAGGGGTCCGACTCTGCCCTAAACATGGGATCAGCATTTTTTCTTAATTACACCGTCTCGCCGATAAGGTTTTTTTTCCTCCACCCTTTCATATACATATATCTATTAGTGTACCATTATCTGTCGATTGAATAATCAATTAGATATGTCTTAGCATTATCATAGTTATGTTAACCGAAAAATTTCCAATTCAATCAAACTATAATCAATTATGCAGTGTAAAGTATATACAACTATTGGATTCAATAAAGTTGTACTCGCTCTTGAATTCAGTGTGCAATACACCAACTATAGCGTAACTATTGTGTAGCTTGTGGGCGGTTTCGTAAATAATTAAGATAGCGTTTTAAAGACATCACGAGATGAATGCGTGATTTACTGTAACACGTGTTATGAACATTCATTATATATGATTTCGTAACACAGAGATCTGTCAGTATTAGTATGGGTGCATATTAATATTAATATTGACTTTTTTATGTTATGGCGGAAATTTAGTTACACAGAGATTGTTGAATTAACTTTACTGAATAAAAATTACACAAGACCAAGATGGACGTATTGAACAAGCCATTATACACATCTGTGTTAGAACGTGTCGAACATCATAATTATGTTTAAGGATGTAGCCAATTAGTTTCACTTTTGTGTGTCAGACTTGATTTCACAGTTTTAAAACGCTCGCTGCAATGCCATCTAAAACAATTTATATGACGATAGATCCAAACGTGTATTTAACGAATGGACGTTTGAAGTCATATGTTGCTTGGCAAGCAAACCACTATATGAAATTTTAAGTACAGAGAACAGTCTACCGAGAAAAACCATTGAAAGTAGTGAAAACGAAGACAGGATTTATATGGTTATAGTTACAATAAAGTTAAATTTACACAGACTAACTGAAGATAAAGAATTCGAGTATTTTCTCTCAAAAAACAACTTTATTGTTAAAACGACCGCTTTTTTAAGAAATAATATATTTATGCTCACGAGAAAGTTTTGATTATATTTAATGCGAGTTTCATGTTTTTTTTGAAATGCTTGGTGGGACTAAAAGCACGTAGACTGTGACTATATAGCTATGTTAGAAGATTGTATTTTTTAAGCCTGCCGTAAGTATAATGAAGCATAAAAGTTAGATGCTGTATATCAATCTTTGGTAAATCGTTCTAAAACAATGCTATGACGCTATGTTTCCCTCAGCCAAAAAATCCTATACAGATTTCTCAATTTGATATGTAAAAAAGTCTTAATTCAGTTTCAATGACTATTTCTAACCGCTATTGAGTAATATTATGGAAACAGGTTAAAACGATTGTTAACTCTAATAATTATTTCCCTCTGTTTAATGTACTTTTTCTTTTTTAATTATGTACCACACAAAAGCGTTACGCTTCTCTCGATCATTGACCCGTAAAAAACAAGCCCAAGAAACAAAACTTTGTTAAATGCTTTATTGTTTCTTATTGCATTACATGTCTTTTTTCTCTCAGCCATTTCATCGCAGGCTTAAGATAATTATAAGCACTATATTATTTTGACGTTGGGATAATATGAAATAAAGTGTAACAGAGATTAAGATAAGCAAGCTAAGCATTAAAGTGTAAACTAATTCCAGAATCAATGTTTTACAGTAAAACATTCGGTGCTTCGTTTATTCACCAAAGAAAACAAACCTAACTGTTACTCGATACATAACGTGGTTCTTCAGACATTCTCAGGAAAGAACGAATGAGTTTTTTCTTGGTAAATTTAATGAATGACACAAATAGCACGTTTACTTTTAATAAGCTGTGGTACATTCGTGTGTGTTGTGTACAATTTATCCGAAGTGTATGCACATCGAATTCATAGTATTCTATTTGTGGCAGCACAATCGTAGTACAACATAATATAAATTCCTGTGAAACCTTCGGATAATGTCACAACACTTTATATTTACGTCCACAAACATGATGGACAAGTTTATTAGCGTATTCGCAGCGTCAACACTTAATTGTAATGAAGACATTATCCCAACGGTTACTAACAGTCATTTCCACCTTTAGCATATAAGCGTTTATAGACAGAACAAAGAAAAAGTCGGCCCGCGGCCATTGCCGAGGTTGGATAAAATGTTGATCATCAAAGTTCCAGACAGACCAAGGTTTTGACCATCAATATCCATGACGCTGACACACTTTTTTTCTCGGGCGGGTGGATAGTCCGACGAGAACCAATTTAGTCGTAATACTAAGGTGGCTGAATAGAAAGGACCATACATAGGTAGGTACTACATAGATGGAGAGATTTTGAACACAAGCATGAAAAGGGTCAACAATAAGTTCAAAAGAAACATCCGATTCTTTGACATAGATAATAGGAATACAACATCTCTGCTATCACAGGCTAGACAATTTGGTAATAAATAATATTATACGGCGCTAAGTCTTCTAAATATTATACTGGTTACAATATTAGTAATAACCAATACATGTAGGAAAGTTTTTAAGAAACGAAATTCCGCGAAGCATTTTCTTGGCCAAATATGTGGTCTGTGTTACATGATGTGTTTGCAAATAGATATTTAACTACCGGTACACGTGTATATGTTTGCGAACGTGCGTGCGTTTGATAAATCTATTCGCCAGTGAATGGGCCCAGGCGTACGTGTGTAACCATCGGCTATTCATCGAACCAAAAATAAAAATTTTATTTTGTGTTGTCAAGTAAGAAAGACCCAATCATCACTATCGGCATTTTACGCGCCAATGTTATTATCAATCACTGGCCAGACGTTTAGTTTGATGGTATTAACTTAAAATTTGTAAGCGTATATATCTAATTTAGTATCGATCTTGTGAACAGCTGTTTGGGAATAGCCGAAATCATATTCCGATCGATCGACTATAACCAAATTGGTTGCTAAATGAACATGCTCTTGACATTTTGTATATTCATGCTTACTTATTATGTACGCTAATCATCAGGCAGAAAATTTAAACGGAATGGACAAGGAAAATTGGTATATAAGAGAGCATCTGGCACAACTAGTAACGACTAAATCGATTTTCCTCCTCTTCATTCTTTTCAGCATTCCTAGTGAAAGGAAATCACAAATTCACAATGACGTCTCATCAAGTGGAAGAATCCAGTCAGATCGATCTCGATGAGAAGCGTCGAGCTGCTCTAGCAGAAATAGATAATGCAAAATTCGGCTGGTTTCACATTCGCACGATTGTAGTCACTGGTGTAGGGTTCTTCACCGATGCCTACGACTTGTTTGCTATCAACTTCGTGACGGCAATGTTGGGTTATGTCTATTACTCATCTGCCAAAAATACGCTACCGACGAATCTCGAATTGGGAATAAAGATAAGTGCACAGTGTGGAACATTTGTTGGGCAATTACTTTTCGGTAAGTGTGAGAAGACTAGAGCTAGAAATAACAATGTTGGTTGTGTTGTGGCTCTTGTAAGATAACAGTCATTCGTTCTTCTTTTCGATAGGCTGGCTTGGCGATCTATGGGGAAGAAAAAGGGTAAGATTTTAAGTGTCCAGTGTCTACAAGTCGGTTACACACACAAAACATAACACTTTCTTCAATTTTACTCAGATGTACGGTATAGAGCTTATGATAATGATCATTGCAACATTAGGCTCCGCTCTCTCTGCAGAGTCATTTGCCGTGAGCGTCTCTGGTGTATTAATACTATGGCGAGTTATTCTCGGTGTTGGAATCGGTGGCGATTATCCCATGTCTGCAGGTTCGTAATAAAATATCGGGTTCTACACACATCCTAACCAATGCAGCGGATCTCGAATTATAAACAAATTTTAGAATGGCGTCGTTTTTGAAATGGCATTATAATTACTCTAACCTTCATTTCCTTTTCAGTCATAAGCTCCGAATTCGCAAACAGAAAACGTCGTGGTGCTATGATAGGCGCAGTATTCGCAATGCAAGGCTTTGGTATTCTCGCTGCAGCAATCTTGTCGACCATTATCCTCGCCGCCTACAAATCATCTATCGAAACTGATATACGCTATGTCGACTACTGCTGGAGACTTCTTGTTGGGTTAGGTGCCGTTCCTGCTTTAGTGGCATTATACTTCAGATTAACTATCCCAGAGACACCACGATACACCATCGATATTGAGAGAAACGTTCAACGGGCAGCCACGGATATTGCAGTTGTTCTGGGTAAAAAGAAACAAGAAGACAGAGAAATCATTGAAGAAGGAGAAAATATACCCGATGTCGAAGCACCGAAACATTCTTGGCAAGATTTTAAGGAGTATTTTGGAAAATGGGAAAATGGAAAGATTCTTCTTGGTACCAGTCTATCGTGGTTCTTGCTCGACATTGCGTTTTACGGCATTGGGCTTAACAATTCGATCATATTGACGAATATTGGATATGCTAAATCATCTGATCCATTCAAGTCGTTATGGAATATCAGTATCGGGAATATCTTGATAGCTGTTCTTGGGACTGTGCCAGGATATTGGTTTACCGTCTTTTTAGTGGATGTTTGGGGAAGAAAGCCCATACAATTTATGGGATTCGGAGTATTGACAGTACTGTTTCTTATTCTTGGAGTCGCATACAAAAAGATTCTCGATACATCGACCGCATTATTTATCGTCATATTTGCTCTATGCCAGGTCAGTTTACCTATGCATAATGAACTTTCGTTTGATCGAATATTGTTCATTGATTTGTCTATTTCGCGACTAATATCGAATCTTTCTATTTATACAGTTCTTCCAAAACTTTGGACCAAATACTACCACGTTCATCATCCCAGGTGAAGTATTCCCAACACGATATCGATCAACGGGCCATGGAATTTCAGCTGCATCAGGGAAACTTGGAGCTATTATATCTCAAGTTGGTTTCCTTCGACTTAAAGATATTGGTGGCAAGGATGCATACGTCGACAAAGTAATTATCATCTTTGCTCCAATCATGTTCCTCGGAGTTCTCACCACATTCTTGATACCAGAAACAAAGGACCGATCATTGGAGGACTTATCCAATGAAAAACAGGTTGGATTTGTCAGTACCAAGCGTAAATCTTCTACTAATGAGAAAAAAGTATAAAAAATCAAAACGTACGGGAAGATATTAATTAACGAACTCAAAGTAATAACAAAAGAGATATTCAATTTATCATCAATATAATAGAGTACGACTTCAATATATATTATTATATTTGCATTATAATATATATAGGCAAGAAATTAATGCACGATTTAACTTATTTGATTGTTATAAATTAAGAAATACAACTGAAAGGTCAGTTTGATAAATTCAGTATTTGTTTCCTGCTAAGATATTGACTATGATGGGTTAGATTGGCCAAAAGGTTCAGACTCTTGACAGTTAAAATCTCTCGGGTGAATCGGCGGCTTATACAGGTGGGCAATAAGCTCGCGCAAGATGCCGTAATGTTTTCGGTACTATTACTATTGAAATAAGTCTGTTGTTATATCGGCCCCAACCATGTGATACAATGAGCCTTGTCCTTTTCCATTACTTATACAAAGTATGCCAAATCGGCGAAATTAAAATAGTTTGGAGAGATAAAGCAATGTGCTCAACACGTTTAGACGCTCGGTTAATAAAACAATTCAAAAAATTTTTTATGAGTGGTCCGTTAGGTCTGATTTATAATGCTCGAATCTATATATCAAGTAAACTTATTAAAATATGAACCAACGTTGTTTTGAAAAAACAAACAAGCAAACGCATTTACAGCTACAATAATGGAAGCCCTTTAAGATAGAAATAGAGTAAGCACAGAATATGTTTACCGTAAATGATTTTTGATAGAATTTTTCTTCCAACATCCAAGCAAGAACAACTCCGCCAAGTTTTAAGAATCAAGAAGCGTGTATGCTTACAATCTTACAAACATACCACTCCAATATAGATGTTGTATTCTACGTTGAAATACTTTGAACGCATATTAAATGGTAATAATCCAGTTTTTTAAACCAAGCGAATAGGGTAGAAAAAAGAATGCCTCAAAACAGTAGTGAATTACCGTCGAGGAATGGAATCCATTTCCTAATGCGGAATTACACGCATTATTTTCATCACACTTTATCAGCCACTCGCCACATCCTATTGGACAATAAATTAGAGGCACAAAGCCTCGGGATGCTTCGTTTTTGTAGAAAAAGAGTGAAGTATATATAGCTATGCCTTATAGGTACAGTATATCTATAATGAGGTTCCCGACAGTTCATTTCCCCCGACAATCATGCAGTTAATTAGCCGCGTTTTTTGACTACATTTTTGACTACATTTGTCGTCGTTGGGCAAACTGTAATGCCTCTGAAGGCTCATTTGTCAAAACGGATTTATTTTACCTAGCTCAACTATCGACAACGTCGGGGAAATGATTGTCCCGAAATGAATAAATGCCATGTGATCCTGTTAATTATTGTGACGGCTGATGCTTAACCAATTTTGGTTTATAACGGAACCAAAAGTATTCAAACGGAGAAGTTGAATTTGAAGGAAAGTGTTACGTGGTTGGAATTAATGACGCTATATTACTTAAAGGCAAATTAATCAATGCAAGAGTAACAATACCTCTTTGCCAACAGTATGCATTAGTTCTATATATTGTTAACATCCTTACCAAAGACAATAATATGGGACAAAGATAACTAGCTACTCATTCGGCTCCCATACCCTTGCTAGCCTTACAGATCTCGAGGGGCAATGATGAAAACTGGCAAAAATGGAAGGTGCAGCCCAGAGCATTATTCTAAAGCCGTTGACAGAGTTATTCCCAGAACTCGATCACAATACCTGCTGTTTTCGTTGTTAATTTCACGGCCAGAACAAAAAAAAACGTACTAGTTATTATGCTACTAAAGCCGTCGTTCATCAGCGATGGAAGATGAGAAATACAAGAACATAGTGGTGTCGAGTCAATAGATGTGGGAGAGATGACTTTGAAATTTAACTCTTTGACGATACCTTTGACTAATGTTAGATCTATAAATACAGTTAGTGACCTTAACGTTGGTTATACTCACGATGTTAAATCGCTTTTGTATACGCTGATTTCTTTCGATGGGATTGGTTTCGAAAGCCTATGGTCGAGGAATTTTCACTACATTAAACGCGTTTATAAAGAATTAAATAATAATCCTGATGTCAAAGATTCCAATGAAATCGATGGCAAGTTCGAATCTCATTCACCGCTGGTACGGAAAGGCATTTTTGCACTTTTACACCGGCCATGTAAACCTTCACCAGGGAGTGAATGAAATAATTTTATAAGATCTGATGCGCTGAAGAAGATCGTAAGATATCGTTTACTAGGAAACTACTATCGCTTAAATATCTTTGATTTTTCGATAAAATGGCTTGGCATGAACACTTTGCAACGTAATGCTAATACTGACCACATCTGTGCACACTCAAATCCATATTTCCCTTGCAACATAGGTCGTCTTCTTGGTGACACGCATTCCTACATCTTCGATACATACCAATGCTGGTACTCACAGTTTATTAATAATAGCCGCAGTCATGATTACGATCTGCTAATGTTGTTAATAATTACATTCATTCGTTTAAGCGACTATTTCGGTAAACCCGTTGCCTGGGCGTATGTAGAAATTCTGTACCGTACAACTATCACATATTACAGCCTCATGCAGTACAGAATTTGCAATTTGTAAGTTATTGCAAAACAGACAGTTTAACTTTGATTTAACTCGTGTGCTTCACGGTTGCAACGGGTAAGGAAGCTTCATTGAAGGGCTGAGTTTCTAGTTTTTGTTTGAAAATAACCAGATGTTAATATTCCCGGCGACTTGTTGCCATGTCATGTGGAGATGCAACATTGTCGTCAAGGAAAAAAAAAACTAATACAGTGTCATAACTTTATTTCAGTCCTGTGGAATGGCTTTGCATCACATCTTTATACAGAGTTTAATTGTGTTGCAAAAATAGCTAAAAGTGTTTATATTATTGGCGAAAACACCAAACACTTTTCTTTAGTGTTAGTGAGGCGCATTTGGTAGGAGCTGGATGGAGCTAAGTAGAAAAGAGCAGATTATAATATCTACTAGTAACAACTCAAGCAACTATTACAACTTCAAGCACTTATAACCTTAGACGCATTCGATATATAGTGTGTTACAAAAAATGGTTAGAGAGCAATAAACGTATTTTCTTAAATTTCGTACTAGAGTAATTTCTGCTTTGCAGAGGAATTAAATTATAATGCTTTGATAGCTTATGAGCAGAAGCTTTATTGCCATAATTTATGTTTTTTACCAATACCTCTCATAATTAGCTTACCTTTCGATCTTACCAAATCGATTAACATTTTATCGGATAGAACTCCATTCCTCGTCCACAATTTTTGGGCATACTTTACCTAATGTCATAAATTTTCTATGGGATTTAGGGCTGGACTAATGGTCTTGCAATTATTCGTAGGATAACAACGCATGTATACAATGAAACTTAATATAACGAATATCGCTTAATGCGGAGATTTTTGACGGAACCAAATTCTCGCTAATTAATGTGTCAGATAATCTCTCGATAAAAAAAAGAGGGGGTTTAAAGTAGCTTTTGGTGTGGACATTGTCGTTTAATCTGTATTAAGACTAATATTTGTCGTAATTAAGTTTGCAGCACTTGCGCGGGAAAAGTTACAATGAGCTAGCTGATATTCTCCCCTTATGATGACAAATCAAGATAAAATTTTGGAGCTGCGGAAGCGGAATTAGAAAAGAAGATCGTATTAGTATGATAATGTGGTGAAATTGATCAACAAAAAAATTTAGAGATTAGCGCATCATCAATGAAGGAGCTACGTAATCTCAGAAGACTCATTACATGCAAAAGTATTGAGAAGAAAAAACAAACTATGTTGGAAGGATTTGTGAATTTTAGTGTGTCAATTGAATCTGTAATAAATTTACTTTGAATCGTTAATTATATAATGGCTTGTTATTGTAACGAGGATTCACGTAGTTTATTATAATATCCGGTATATCGTTTAGCAGAGGAAATGATTGGAACCATGCCTTCCGTTATATCTGTGTGTATTTAATTTTAATATAGTGCGAAAGAAATGTTCCGGAGTTGTGAAAACCAGGAAATGTCATCTGTGAATAAAAGTTCCTCGCGACGACATTGACGTCACACTTGTATTAACAATGTACTACGATATACAGAAACTCGGTGACCTTAGTGTATTTCCATAATCAGCCAGCTGATCGTCTGTTCAAAGCAGATAGATTCTCAATTCAGCAACTAAACATTGCTTAATGGCAGTTAAACCGGTAACACTTTAATTTAAGCATGAAAAGGGCGATAAGAATGTTTTCTGTGGGAAAATCATACCAATAAATGCAACTCACGTGGTTTATAATCCATTTTTTATTGGGTGATCCATTGTCCGTTGATACAATGATAATCTTCAAAATCAGATAATAATAATAATCCGATGCATTAATGGCATACAGTGTTCCCAACACTAAATACGGGGGTAAAACAATATCACCTGAGAATTAATTGGTATTAGTAATCATGGAAAAACCGATTGTAACGATATCATTCTCTCGCTCTATGTTAGGTTATACACTCATATCAAGCGTTCTTCAAGATGTCGCTGAATACCGCACAGGATGCAACCGATATGACGACTGAAACAGCACGACATATAAGCACAGAGAAGAGTATAGAAATCTCAGTAGTAGAGGATGCTGAGAAAGCTGAGCAGACTAAAGCCAAAGACATAACCATAGTTGCAATGCGCAATTTTTACATAATTGCAAGCGCCTATCTATTATTCACCCTCACAGATTCGGCACTGAGAATGGTTGTGCTGTTAGAACTATATCAACGTCACTACAATGTAAGTGTTAGCTGTGAAAAACTACACTCATGAGTACGATAGCATAAAGTTGTGCTTATCATTGAATAACCCTGGCTCTTCTCATGTAATTACCAAATCAAGGCACTCCAAATTTCGATCATGTTTATGCTATACGAATTCTTGGGCGTGGTCACAAATCTTGTCGCTGGGATTATTGGAGCACGTCTTGGGCTTCGCTTCTGTCTCGTGACAGGTCTCATCTTTCAATTAATTGGCATCGGCGTTCTAATCGGTCTGCAAGAGGATTGGTCACGTACTTGGGTTATAATATACATTGCCCTAGCTCAAGGATTCAGTGGCGTTGCAAAGGATATGGTGAAGTTGGGTGGGAAATCGGTGACTAAGCTGGTTACGCACGAGGACGGTCAACATCAATCCAAATTATTCAAACTAGTTGCTTGGTTGACTGGTGCAAAGAATTCTATCAAAGGTGCAGGATTCTTCTTGGGAGCACTCTTATTGAATATAGTTAGCTATAGAGTATCGTTATCAGTGTTGTTAGGAATGATTGCTATTATATTACCACCCAGTATGCTATGGTTAGATAGTCAATTAGCAGTCAGCAAGCGCAAGGAGGCCTTGACACTAAGGCAAATATTCGATAAGGGGAGGGATGTGAATATACTCTCACTAGCGAGAATGTTCCTATTCGGATCAAGAGATCTGTGGTTTGAAGTACCGTTACCGTTATTCCTCCGGGGTCCATTTGGATGGTCGTTTATAGCAACGGGAGCCCTGCTCGCCGGGTGGGTAATATTCTATGGCGCAGTGCAATCAAGCACACCACAGCTTATTCTAAGACCGCTGGGAATATATCCAATTGAAAAAGCTACCTATCTTGTTCCATCAACACTAGTTTTGTTGATCGTAACCATCGCTGTTGCTATTGTTCTTACAGTTATCAAAGAGATAAATACGACTCTACTTGCTTTACTTCTCGTAGGATTGTTTGCTTTTGCCTTTGTTTTTGCTATCAATTCTTCGATCCATTCATTTTTGATTCTCTCCTATTGCCATAGAGATAAGGTTGCAATGAATGTAGGATTCTATTATATGGCTAACGCAATGGGCAGACTCGTTGGTTTGATTCTAGGAGGTGTACTGTTCTATTACGTAGGACTTTATGCCTGTCTTTGGACAAGCGCTGGTGCTTTACTTATATGTATGATCGTATCAGCATTCTTGGGTCCTGTACCTGAAGACTAAGTGTTGACTATCCGTTAATTATCAATTAATAATAAAAAGTAATAAACATTAATCAGTTATACGTACGTAAAAAATTTCGTGTCCGCGGTATTGATAAATGAATCTTGTATACCATTTTCCCCAATCCGGGTTTTCCTCATTATAAGTTGTAAGTTGTGTGGCGCTGATTTATCACCGCCTGATTTATCGCCGCCTGATTTATCGCCGCCTGATTTATCGCCGCCTGATTTATCGCCGCCTGATTTATCGCCGCCTGATTTATCGCCGCCTTCTATCCCAAGTTCGGACCATACATCCATTAATCACTAATAGCATATATCACGTGATGTAGTATACCTCGGCTCAATAAATAGTGCAAAGAATTTATTTATTGGGCTTGTATTTATGCAAGAAAAGACGCATTTATTGAACAAACGGCAGTAGGAGTAATGCAGATTAGAAGGAAACATTTGCGAAACGTAAAAATAGTGATTTACATACGTTTCAATATTCATATCACTTTTGTACTTAGTGAGAAATAATCTTTGAAATTACAGTAAGTATAGTCGTCCTCCTCTACAGTCACACTCCTGAAACCTGTGACTGTAGAGGGGGACGACTGTAGAGGAGGACCCCTATACAATCCCAAGATATATGCAATTCATTGTGAAGTGCTTATACTGTACAAAGATTTATATTAATTGACAGCATTCTTGTAAATTCTGATTTCGAAAAATTTTTTATTCAGTTTAAGTCATAAAAAAAAGCAAACCAACAACCTGTTAATAAGATAATAAAAACGTACATGTTGACAGTGATATGCATAAAGAGATTAACTTATTTCCTAACAAAAGAGTCGAGTGTGACTGAACTTTAGACTTGTCCACTAATAGTTCAAGTATTGGTATTTTGCGATGGAGAATTTTTAACTCATCTGGTCTAACAACGTCTCGGAAAGCTGTTCTTGGAATCTAATGAGTTCCGTGAGATGAAACAATGCTTCGTGGACAAGATCTTGCTTACTGTAGACCGATCTATATTAATACTATACTTATTGAAATAAGATGCAATTTCAGTACTTGTGGCGGTGTTATTATCGTTTGAGTAAATGCAAATCTCATGCCGTAAAGCATTAGTGATTTGAGGTCTCTTTCTTTTCTTGGTTGGAGAGGCTATAGACATTTTAATTTTGTGTGTAAAGAATGCGCGTTCTCCAATCATTTTAATTTTTTATTTTTATCACTTAATTTTATCACGTAATGTGACTGTGAGGAGGAGGTAATTTTTCATATACACAGTGAAACTGGATATAACGAAACCTGGATAAAACGAATTTCGACTATAACGAAGTTTTTTTCGATGTCCCAAAACCTTGTCTAATAGATATAACAAAGTTAATTAAGAAAACCTGGTTACTGGCTATAACGAAGTTTTGACTCAGTTGGCTAATAAGAATACAACGAAGTTTTCTTATAACAAACTTCCTATATTATAATAAGCTTCATTAAATTATGGCAATCTTTTCCCCATTAATGTAAAAGTTTACCGTAAATCCTAGTCTGTTTCGCCACGATGGTTAGAGCCGAAGTGACAAAACCTGCTAAGAACAAACGCCATGCACTTCGCAGCATTGAAAAAAGATCTTTCAAAACCAGTGTGGAATTGGCGCGACAAACCACTCTCGAGGAATATTTGACATTCGATGCGTAGTTTCTTTATATTGCATACAGTAAATTTTCTGTCTGAACGAGCATCTTCAATAAAATTAATTTACTATATCGTAACACAAAGTGGCAAATGAGTACCCGCTTAAACGAAACTATAAATAGGACTTCCTTATAAAGAGGAAACCTGGATATAACAAAAACCTGGATATAATGAAGAAAAAGGTTGGAACGGACCACTTTGTTATATCCAGTTTCACTGTGTATCTACTATTTATCGGTTCTGCTGTGTCCTATGATAGGGACTATAGGTAAATTTACTATAAAATCGGTTGGTTCTGTAAAAAGGTGTGACTGTAAGCCAATTGTGCTTATATATGTGACTGTAGAGGGGACGACTGTATAAGTAATTTTGCGAAATTCAATTTTAGTCCTAATTTGAATATAGTTAGCGAAATAAAACTGCTTATACATGTTGTGGTGTAGTTTCACCGCTAGCTAACAGCAAGTATTGTATCAAATCAATAATATAACCATAATCCTCAATTATATTGGTTAGAGTAGCTCTTCGTACTCAACAAATTATATTTATTGGTTTAGCATTAATCAGTATTTTCAATCAGTATACTCTTCGAGCTCCGTGCGATTTTAAACTCTTTTACAATGGTTACACAAAAAAGCTTTTACTTTGTCGTTTTCATAAATACAGTCAAACCTCTTTATACCGATATTGTTTATTATTATACCGATAAACCGATAAAGTTTGTTTACCCGAACCAATCCTTCTGATAAACCTCTTTATTAGCTATACCAATACAATCTTCTCTGATTATACCAATATTCATGTGCAACACCAAAATTGACAAATCAACTTATCTCAGTTATTGTATATGTATTATGGTGGCCGACATCAATTTTGCAAAAGTTTCGTTTTTGATATATGTTTTTGATAGATCGGCAAGTACCCCCAGTTTTGATATATCCGCAGTAAAGTCACGTTTTCACTGATAACCAGCATTTTTTGATAGTCATCTGTTCGAATTAAATATCTTTTTGCCTAATTTGTTTAATTTCGTACAATATTATTTTGACATTATACAAGACGGTAAAATTTCACTTTATCGTGTCTCGTATTACGAATTAGTGATTATATAATACACAACATAGTGATTCGTACGCGCCTTTCCTCTGAAGACTTCCGTTCGATTGGACTTTATTTCATCAAGACTTCAATACCGATTCAAATCCACATATCTGGCAGAAACTGCCATATTCTGCAAAGAAGATTGAAGAAGCTCGCATAGAAGTATTAACGACACTCGGATACTCGGCTTCGAAAAAATATTTCGGTCAATGGTTTTGTCCATATTAATATAATAATCGATAGATTTCGATATCTTTATTATATATTATAATACCATCGCCCATGTTGCTAGTTAATGAATAAATCATTATACTTGGGATGGATTGCAAGAGGACCGTGGGATATCATAAATGAACTATGGTTATACAGTCAGACCTCTCTAAATGCAACCTCTCCAAATGCACACACTATATAAACTCTCCATAAATGCACGATATGGTTCAGTCTCAGCTTATAAGAGCATTATATATTTTGCTCTCTGTAAATGCACACTCTCTCTAAATGCACACTTTTGGACTATGGTCCCGACAACGTGAATTTAGAGAGGTCTGACTGTATGTCTGACATCATGGATTGATTGAATATAGTCATAATTTGCTAATAATAACGAACGGATAAACCTCAGGGCATTAATAAAAACGTGACTTTACTGCGGATATATCAAAAACGAAACCTAAATCTGGGGTACTTGCCGATCTATCAAAAACGGAACTCCTGATATATCAAAAACGAAACTTTTGCATCAATTTTAAATGCAAATTATCACGTGATTTTAAACCAATCATTTATTATTTTATTAATTCTTCAATTACATAATCGGAAATGCATCGGTGGGATTTGTACTTTTTAACCGCACACTCCGCCAACTTGCCAGTAATACCCTTCCTATACAATCCATATAGCGCCATGTTTTCATCATCCCACCCGTTGTCATCTTCATCACCCCAATTATTGTTTTTTGGTAAACTTTCCAATATTGTCTTGTTCTTGCTCTCTAGCAATAAGTTTTCGCTTTGATGGGCGAGTCATAATTGGGCGTGAAAAAAAAAATATACATACACAGTGAACCTGGATAAAACGAAACCTAGATAAAACAAATTTCGACTATAACGAAGTCTTTTCGATGACCCAAAACCTTGTCTAATAGAATTTCCTGCCCGGATATAACGAAAACCTGGATATAACGAAGAAAAGATTGGAACGGACCACTTCGTTATATTTAAAACAGCGATTTAATATAAATTTCTCGCTTTTTCCAATATGCTTTATATGAAAATTTCCCGAACTTTTAAACTAAAATAAATTCAGATTTTTATATTATGATTTGAAAACAAAGCCGTTAAAAATGTTCAGAATGTTCTATCCTATCATTCTATCATTCTATCATTCTATCGGTTTAGACTGGGTTTTTATTTCTTTTTTCTTAAGTTATAAAATTTTAAATCACATGACTTTTTTTGCGGTTTACCATGCATGAAACGAAAGAATAAAGATAATATTACTTCACCATCTCCCATTCGGAAAATTCAACATTTCATCACTTACCTTTCCTTTGATCGTAGTCAAGACGTTGTTAATCAAGTTGTAGTGTTCTCTTTGAAGTTTCATCTCTTCCTCGTGTTTGTTTCCAGCCTGAGAAGCATCGTCTGCATCATAGCCCAAACCATCAGAAGCCAACCATCATCCTTTAAATACTTTTGTCAAAAACTTGATATCAAAAAGCATCTGAACAGAGCCCTTCTCGGAAACTTTTGCGAAATAGGGTGATGATACTAATGCAGAATAGCAAGTAAAAATCGCTGTTGAAAGAGACATCAACAGATTCTTGAGCTGCAACTGCATCAGTAATCAAAAGTGCTTCAATACTTTTTAATTCAAACTCCGTTATTATTATATGTAAATATTTACGTGATCGAGTCACCCGCCCCCATATTAATTACGTGATGAACTAGATAGTCACGTGTGTTTCTTACAGAGACTTAGAGCAGCCTCTCCCAAGTGTATGGACTGCCAGTCTAAACAAAATAAATGACTGATAGTCTCATCACCAACAAATATACCTTTCTGATTATACGGTTCGGGTTTTCTATAACTTCTAATCACGCACGGCAGCCAACTGCATGACGTGACAATCCTCTTGTCCGATCCACTCAGCAAAATCTTGGTCGGCTTTGTACATATAACGTTTTCAGGTATGTCCAAGATGTCTGGGTGTGTTCTACCTACTTTCGACGCGAGTTTGTCCTGCTCAATTGCCGCCCTATATCCAAACGTAATGGTACTCCGTGTCTCTCGGTAACTCCAGTAACATAATTAGCGATCAATACTCGTGCAGTATACGTTGCTCTTTTTTAAGCGGATCCATTACGCTGATCGTTAGTTTAGATTCTTGTTGATGTTGGGTTGGATGGATGGTAAGACTGGATGGGATTATAAATGATTTATTGGGAGCGTATGTGTGCCATTTGGGCCAGATATTGTTAAAAGCGTATTGATTTTAGTTTGGGGTGGGGTCATGAGTT